TTTATACTGTTTATTTTATAAGATGATGTTTTGTTCGAAAAATGTGAATCTGCAAAGTAACTAGTCATTATAGTTACAGTAAAAAGTACAATATTTCCATTTGAAAGATGGTAGAGTAGAAGTATAATGTAGCATCATGAAAAACACAAACATTTTCAGTTGAGAAGCTTCTTGTCCTCAACTCCAAATTGAAGCCTGGAGCACTCGCTGTGTGAAGATAACTCGGTCTGAGGTGAGGCTGCATTTCATTCTGTCCAACAACAGAAACACACCCGTCCAGCAGCCGAGAGTCCAAAACCAATATTGTTCTTGTGGGCTGGGTGAGAGGAGCTCTCAGCTTCTTCTGAACATTCGAGGGGAGGCTTCGACCTGCGCGCTGACCTCTGGATGTCCTGGAGTTTTAGTTCTACCGCCGTTTCTCAGAAAGGAAACTTGAGCGTGGGCAGAGGGTGGACTGAGCTGTAGAGTCCCTACTGTTCACATCTTCTATTTAAGATGTTTTTGTGTGGGTTTATATGATGATATTGTAAAAACATCACTGTCCTCTGTGTGTCTCACATCCTCTCTGATGTCTGAAGAAACTGTTAAAACCACATCAGTGAGCGTCACTGCTGCACTGGGTCACATGTCCCTTCATCACCATGAACACACACACTGTAGCTTATTCTGACTCAGTCCCACACACACTCACCGGCCACTTTATTAGGTACACCTGTTCAATTGCCATTCAGCCAATCACATGGCAGCACCTCAATGCATTTAGGCATGTAGACGTGGTCAAGGCAACTTGCTGAAGCTCAAACGCAGCATCAGAATGGGGAAGAAAGGGGATTTAAGTGACTTTGAACGTGGCATGGTTGTTGGTGCCAGACGGGTCTTTCAGAATCTGCTGATCTACTGGGATTTTCACGCACAACCATCTCTAGGGTTTACGGAGAATGGTCTCAAAAATAGAAAATATCCAGTGAGCGGCAGTTGTGTGGACGAAAATGCCTTGTTGATGTCAGAGGTCATGGGAGAATAAGCAGACTAGTTCCAGATGACAGAAAGGCTACAGTAACTCAAATAACCACTCGGGACAACCAAGGAGGTATGCAGAACAACATCTCTGAACGCACAACACGTCGAGCCTTGAAGCAGATGGGCTACAGCAGCAGAAGACCAGCTCCTGTCAGCTGAGAACAGGAAACTGTGGCTACAGGTCACACAGGCTCACCAACACTGGACAATCTCGATTTCAGCTGCAACATTCAGGTCAGAATTTGGCGTAAAGAACATGAAAGCATGGCTCCATGCTGCCTTGGAACAACGGTTCAGGCTGGCTGTGGTGGTGTAATGATGTGGGGGATATTTTCTTGACACACTTTGGGCCCCTGAGTACCAACTGAGCATCAACCTGAGTATTGTTGCTGACCATGTCCATCCCTTTATGACCACAGTGTACCATCTTCTGATGGCTGCTTCCAGCAGGATAACGCACCTTGTCACGAAGCTCAAATCATATCAAACTGGTTTCTTGAACATGACAATGAGTTCACTGTACTGCAACGGCCTCCACAGTCACCAGATCTCAACCCAATAGAGCACCTTTGGGATGTGGTGGAATGGGAGAGTGGCGTCAACTGAGTGAAGCTATCATGTCAGTATGGACCAAAGTCTCCAACACCTTGTTGAAAATATGCTACAAAGAATTAAGGCAGCTCTGAAGGCCAAAGGGGGTCCAAACAGGTACTAGCAAAGTGTACCTAATAAAGTGGCCGGTGCACCGTGCTGCTGCCCCAAATACTCTCTAGAGCACCACATGTAGATTCATCCGCTGCTGGAAATAGTCCCAACAAGTGCACCATTTCCTCCTGTTTGAGTAAAACAGTGAGCAGCTGTTTGAGGACATTTCTTTTTACACAAGAAACTATTTATTTGTGAGGTGTTTTCAAAGATTTGCATCTTCAGGAGGAACTAATGGGTGGATTAACATGTTGTTGGTTTGGAGCTGCACATGAGATTTAACTGTTTAACTGTAATAAGGGTTAAGGTCAGATAGAATAACAGCTGAGCTGATACTTTAACTCTACTTCTATGCAGTCTGAGTTCCCCACAGAACTCCACCTGGTTTAATCTCCTTTGTGTTTGGCCTTGACGCCTTGTCAGTCTAAGTATGTGACCCAGCCCAGGTTGGACATTAACACCAACCCTGGTAAATATTAGCAGAGCCCAGATGGGTTGTAGTGGTAAACACAAGGCAGTGAGAACCACCCACAACTAGTCACTAACAAATACATGTCCCTGCAAACAATCTGTAGCGCCTAACAACTCACATCAGTTTCATGTATTTTATATCTGTTGTTGAAAGGTGGCTGAACTTTATGCTGGTTTCAGAAAAGAAAACATAAACATTACGTACCGGCAGAATAACTTAACCACTTTTTGTTTTGTAGGTGGGTTACGGATCTGGGAGGCAGGAGATCCATGTGGGCTCAGTTTTCAGCTCTGCGGGGATTTACCTCCGCTGAGTTTGGGGCAGCTGATGCAGTCATTCTAGTACATTTACTGTTATCTGAGTGCAGTACACGATATACTGTAACAAATTATATCACACAGGAAGAAAACTATGCATATAGAAATCATAAACATAAACATTTCTAGTCCCAAATTTATTGATGAGGTTTTTTTTTCCAGTTTGGAGGTGGAGGAAGTATTCAGATCTCCAAGTAAAAGTACTAATACCACATTGCAAAAACATGCTGTTACAAGTAAAAGTACTGTATTTGAAATATTAGTTCAGTATATTAATATTAATTGGAAAATGCACTTAAAGTACAAAAGCAGTACAATATCCGTGTAATTGTTGTACTATTATATATACCCTGCATACAGGGTTGCAGGGGGCTGGAGGGCAGGGTACACCCTGGACAGGTCACCAGTCCATCGCAGGGCAACACAACAAGAACAACAACCACTCACAACTAAGGACAATTTAAGATCACCAATCAGTCCGCATGTCTTTGGACGGTGGGAGGAAGCCGGAGCACCCGGAGAGAAACCACGCAGACACGGGGAGAACATGAAAACTCCACACAGAAAGGCCGGGGCAACCGGGGTTTGAACCCACGACCTTCTTGCTGTGAGGCTAAAGCTGTCAGATAAATGTAGTGAAGTAAAAATCTCCCTCTGAGAAGTTTAAAGTGGCGTGGGAAGAAAAGAATCTATGCAACAAAACTACTGTTCAGAGTTTCAGATGTTTCTTAATTAATCCCCTTCCCCTCTTCTTTCTCACAGACCTGGACACTGGCAGTGCTGTCACATGCTACCAAAGCCCAGTCACATGTTCTGCGCTGCCATCCTCCTTCACAGCATCTGCTTCCAGCTCAGGTCCTCCTGTGGTGCCTTCAGGTGCTCCTTGGAAAATATCTCTAAAATCTCTAGTCATCTTTTTTACCAGATGTTTGTTGCAGTCGCCCTTGTTGTGTTTGACGTTACATCTGTTTGACCAGTCATCATTAAAATCACTGTCAGCAGCTCCTGGAAATACTGTGAACACGGATTTAGAGTCATTTCCTGAGCAGCGCCCAAATTCTGCTTCAGGAAATCGTCCCCGGTTTGAGGATTGTGAGGAATGTTCTGTGTTAATGTAACCGAGCTTCATACCACTACGTCTATTTTGCACAAAGGAAGAATGAGAAGAAGAAAATATCTTTCAGCTCTGTGATGTGATGTCTTTATTCACTTTTTCTTCTCAGAGGTTTTTCATCCCCTAAATCACACATCCAGTGATGAACTCAAAGTCAACTTTATGGTCAAGTCTACCATGTGCAAGGACACAGATGATTTAAATTGTATTTCTCTCATGTCCCACGGCGAATGCAAGACAAAAACAACAGTTTTAAAGTGATTAACAAATTATTTACAACAGTTAAACAAATAATGTACAATCAGTGCAAAAATGTCTAATATAAATTATTTGTCCACAGTGCATTGATGCAAAATCTGTCTATGCAACACAGTGCAAAGGTGGATAGCAGCAATTATTATTTAAAGTTTTTGCAGTTTCCTTTGTAGAAGAAAAATACTTACTAGTTATATTCCTAGAAATGTTTATCTTCTTATGTTTTATATACAGTATGTTTGTGTATTATTGCACACTTTTAATATTTTCTCATCATGTAGCCTCCATTGTCCGTGACATTTATTTCCCCTAATTGCACACATGGATCCATCCTGCATAGGGTTTGCAATATGGCCAAAAATGTTATCATGATAAAAAAAAATGTCACATCAGTCGATATCGATGATTATCAGGATAAATGTGAAATCATTATTTCTTTCAAGTTTACAAACACTTGATGCCAAACAGTGGATGGCTTCACATATCTGAGGTAGAACATTCAACACTTTTATAATAAAGTATGAGTTTAAATTAATAAACCTCAACAAAATAAATATCTTAGTAGAAACGTTTTTTAGAAATTTGTTTGTGATTGCCTGGATCTAGTGATCCATGACATTTATTTTCCTTAATTTCAGACATTATGCATGTAGGCTACAGTGTAATAAACATTATGGCCTACAGTTTAAAAAAAAAATACTTTAAACAGCTAATTTTCTTTCAAGTGCCAAGTATCTAAAGAGGGATGCAGCTTTTCATATGCAAATTGCACTTTTCGGGCACTTTGGTTGGCTCTGCATTTTCCCTCTTCCTCCTCCAGTGTTTGGAGGGAAACCCAGATTTCCGGCAGCCCCTGAAGGCGCCACGCACACCACATCCTTCATTACGGGACCGGGAGAGCACCGAGAAGCACCGGGAAGCGTTCACGCAGCAACTAGCGCGGATAAAACTCAGCATTCTGTTAACTGTAAGTTATTTCCACACGTTTAAAGGTTTATTTTGGTCTAAATTGAGCGGAAACACGTCCGTTCCGCGCGGCGGCGGCGGCGGCGGCAGCGGCTGGGTTCAGTTTCCGGGTTTGCCGACTTTGTGCACACGGCACCGGGCTGGTGCAGAGCGCATAAACCCAACGTGTTTCTGTTTACCTCCAGTGTGTGAGTGTGTTTCTGTTCAGACACGCGTGGCTGGTTGTACCGCGGGAGAAGGGGGTGTTTTTATATTTTTATGGCTTGATATCATTAAGTTTAAGGCCGAGCCTCGGCTGCAGCACGAGGCCCGAGCCCGGGCCGCCGCCACCTGGCTGATGCCATCTGCCAGCATCCTCTGAGAAATTTATCCAAGTAACGTTAACCGCGGTTAGCACGGTGGCTAACTCAGCTAATTCACTGCTACAGACAGAAGAGGTGAGGACGCTTCGACCCTCTTAGTGTTACCATCAGTTATTTCTGAATATTAAACACATTTTTACATTGATTATTACTAATAACGATGAGCTGTTTGTTTTGTTAAGCTAGCAATCTAGCGTTCTTTAAGGAGCCGTACGCCAAACTCCATTCAGAAAACCTACAAGTTTTAATATACGTTCTTGTTAATGGACGAATGCCATCTCAATATAACTTAAATTTCTCTAACCCAATTACTTGAAAACTGATCTTCAAAACGGCTTAACATCCAACAAACCAGGCATTATTTTAAATGTTTCCATCTGTCTTCTTTAAACAATGCTGTGGGTTTTAACTAAGCTAAACTGGCTGACAGCGCGATGAGCAATGTGTGATCTAATCGGGATTTTCTGTGTAAATTGTGGTTTAAAGCCATCTGTATCCGGAATTAACCATAATCCATACTTATTTCTGTTGTGTAATAACGTTAATTAACGTCAGACATGTGTGCAACATTTTACAACATTAGCGCAATTTAGCACTTTTAACTCCACTGCTTTATTGGACAGCTATAGTTAGTTGTTACTTTGCAGATAAAGGTTTTAAAGGGCTACAGTGAGCATATAAAATAGAATTTCTTGTTAACTTTTGCTGAATGTACTAATGGATTTTTACTCAAAGTTCAAACCATTTAAACTTTAATGCAAAGAGCTGAAGTGGGAAGAATGTATTCCAGTTATACCAGTGTTGTATTATCTTGTCCCTTTGTGGTGTAAATATAAGCTCTAAATTATATGTGTTTAAAGTCAAAGGTCAGTGTATATAGTATGTGTGTATATATATCCTCTCTGATATGAACTGTCAGTTTCACTTCCCTCCTCTTAGAAGAAAACAGCTCTGTGTCCACACAGCTGTTTATTTACTGATGGGATTGACAGAAAAACATTAACTCCTTCCAATTTGGGGATTTGTTGCTTTTTCTTCTTTGGGTTTTGGATTGTTAGTCAGGCAAAAAACAAGCAATGTGCTGACGACACCTCGGGCTTTCGGGGGAAATGACTCAACGTTAAGTAGAACAGGTACTTTACACTACATACTGCTGGTTTGTGGCCGTTTGTTCATGGTGGCCTTTTTAACGCTCGAGGGCAGAATATGTCAGAGTCACTTTATCAGTCACAGCCAAACACTTTAGACATATTTTCTAACTGTTGAATTGTGTGAATGTGTAAGCTTCACTGCTATAATCTCAAAGCATCTGTTCTGTGTCCTTCATGTTTCCTGATACTGTAGTGTTTCTGCAGATATGATTTAATTTAATTATGGATTAATCCATAGATTATTTTCTCAACTCCTCATTAGGTCTATAGGAAGTCAAGTCTTCTGGTGATGAAGAAGTTTTAGTAGGACAGGTGGAGCGATTAAAGGTTTGAATCCACTGAAGGGTCAAATAAAAACCAGCTGCAGATGGTTTCAGATATTTCCACATCAACTTTGATAATGATGAGTGTAATGATGACCTTTTTATACAGTAATGATTAATATTTCCTTTCTTGTGATGGTTAACCTCTACTTCCTCTAGCTCTGGACTTTAGGGCCTGACAACTAGCTGACAGGTGTTTAAGTTTTAGCTTATAGGCTGTCACTCAACGGAAACTATCGACTAAAGTTATGAAAGAAAACATTCCAAATTTCTAGCTGCGATTAACGGCCAAGCTATCCTGCTTTGTCCAACAGACCAAAATCAAAACCGATTCGGTTTACTGTGATATAAAAAGAGAGAGAGTCCTCACGTTGGAGAAACGGTGAATGTTTGACTTTTTTTTTGTTTGGGGGGGGAAAGGCTGAAATTATTAATCGATTATTTCAGTAAGTTCAGTTATAAATATTTCTATGCAAAATAAATGAATAAAATGTTTTATTGATTTAAAACAAGTTGTCATTGGTTTTCAAAAATAGTTTTAACAGATCTTCAAACTCGCTCTGTAGCCGTTCGTCCTGTCTGAACATCCTTGTTCCCCCGGCAGAGATGATGGACGAGAGAGGAGTCGAGCCGTCTTGGCCGTGATGTTTCTCCTCGCCGTGAGTTTTTCTGGCGGCGACGGGTCGGCCGGTTCAGACTGCAGCCCGTCAACCACAGAGACGAACAGCGCGGTGCGTTTACTGTCAGCTGTGCTCGACCCACAGAGAGCCGAGCAGAGCCAGAGGCAACACCTGGAGGCGCTGTTCAACAGGTGAGCTCCTGCCGGCGACCCGGACATGATAAACGGAGTCACTGACGAACTGTTGTGGTTAAAATGAAATCGCACTTAATCAGCCATGTTTTCGTCATTAACTACACACATTTGAGTCTGTACCAAAAAGGTACTGAGGTGGATACCCAGGCCTGTACGTAGACCAGACACACAGTCATTTAATTATAATATTAAACCAGTTGGTTTTAATGTTCACAGCTGACACAAAACAACTTCAAGTAAATTTTTTATGTTGAAACTCTTTGAAAAACGGTGCTGTGCATGTCCTCTTATAGGACTCATGAATAAGTAAATATATTGTTTGTTCAGTAGTTAAATATTAAAAGACTGTATCCAGTGAAATATAAATCATTTCTCCAGAAATAGCAGTAAACTCTCATCTGGACTGGCAGCTCATAAATCCTGAAGGAGGACTTTTTGGAAACAGGAACTCTGTTAGTTATTTTTGAATGAATGATTTGCTTTTTTATTATTTCACTTTTAATAGTCATGTTTTATTAAACTGGACAGATATGGAGAAAACGGGACCATCTCTCTGGCCGGCTTAAAGCGTCTCTTACAGAATGTGGGGCTGGATCGGATCAGGACTGTTACTGTGCAGCATCACGAGCAACCGGCCATCACGACCACCAACATCACCACCACCACGAAGGTGAACACCATCACCACCACCATGGTCATGAGCACAACAACAAACATCACCAGAAACACGTTCACGGTGAACCCTCTCAGCCCAGAAAGTTTCCAAAGACTCCCGAAGTCTCAAAAGATCAGGACAGCCGTCACAACCTGCACGACAAGAAGACTGTGGGGGCGGCGGCTCAGGAGGTCGGCACCACGGCAGTGTACAGCGCCCAGCTGGAGGTGAAACCAGGTGAAGCTCATAAGAGACAAGACGGCAGCCCAGAAAAACCCAGTCCTGCAGGGGAGGAAACCACCAGGGCGTCTGCCAGACTGGTCACTGAAAGCCAGATACAGATGGCTGCAGTCAGCCGGGGGGATCATCTTAACCACGACCATGATCACGATCACGACCATATTAACCAGGATCTTCCAAGCAATCGAAGCGTGGGCAGTGCAGAGGTACGACATCAGATCCTCATTTACACACATTGAGTTCAGTGCCAAATGTTTATATTGCATAAAGTTTAAAGTTTCTATTTAAAGGACCAGTGTGTAATATTTAGGAGGATCTATTGACAGAAATGCAATATAATATCCATAACTATGTTTTCAGTGGTGTTTAAAGACATTACATAATGAACCGTTATGTTTTTATTACCTTGGAATGAGACATTTCTATCTACATAACTGCGGGTCCTCTTACATGGACGTCACCATGTTTCACTGCCATGTTTCTACAGTAGCCCAAACGGACAGACTGCTCTACAGAGTGCGTTTTGTCACTATGTTGAATACGAACTAAGAATAAGTAGTAGTAGTAATCGTCGACTGGTTTGTTAGAAGGAAGAAGAAAAGTGAAATTTGGACAAATTATTATTACTTTGCAACAATTATAATTACAAAAAGACGAATAAAGTGTACATGGGACATATACAAATATAAAAGAAGACACAAGTAATAAAAAAATTCTCAGGGGTAGTCTATTATTTAAAGAAATTATAAGAGGACCATGTGTTGAAAGTTTTCACAGCCTTTTTGTTGTTGGATTTAGAAATTTAAATTGCTCTGATAATGTTAATCTAGCTCATCCTTTTAGTAGCGTCCATGTTGATTCCACATTCTGACTTAAGAGCACATGAACAAACACTGAAGTCGGAAGAACGACTTCACAACTGGGAAATTGGGCCATCTGAGGAGCACATGAATGCACCGTGAGCTATTGGTTGCAATTCTCAACCCTCACCACTAGATGTCACTAAAACGTACATACTGAAGCTTTAACAGCCAAACTGCTCAGTGCGTCCGTGTTTAAATAAAGATCTTAACTGTACTTACTGTATTTCAACACAACACGTGTTTCATGATCACAGAATAAGTTACAGTTCATTTGTGGTGCCTTCACTGCCTCACCGAGTGAGTAAGCTAACCGCTTCCTTTTGTTCTGGTGGTAAACTGGTTGTGATTTCGTCTTGAACATGACTCGTTAGTTCAGAGAACAGTGTGACAGAACAAGCAGTAGCACTGCGAATGACATGAATACAAAGTCTGAAAAGATAAAACTAATCTATCTAGATGTGAAATCTAAATGGCTTTTCATGGATGTATCGTTTTACGTACATATGACTGATGTGTTCTTATCTCCAGTGTCTGAACGCCTCCAGCATCCTCTCCTCACATGGGATGTCTCAGGAGGTGGGCGTGACCCTCGCTGACTTCAGCCTCCTCTGCCCCGCCCTCCTCAACCAGATTGATGGCGGAGCGTGCATCCTGCACGGAGGCGCTGCAGAGCACGGGGAGAAAGGTAGGAGCCCGTTGATGAAAGCCACCTGAAAAAGAAAGAGATTCAATACGCTCTAACTTCCTGGAGTTGTAAAATCCTCTTATTAGAAGGTTTTAGTATTAGATGATCTGAAATTTTAGTCTTCCGACCACTCAAAGCGCTTTTACACTACGTCACATATTCACACACAGATTGCTCAGCTCAGGAACAGAAATAACATTCAGACAGCGATGGAACAGCCGTCGGGAGCAATTTCAGGTTTATTATCTTGCCCAAGCTCACACAGACTGGGGGAGCTGCCCCTGAGCCACAGCCGCCCACCGACATCTGTGAGGTGTTTTGATGTCTTATAAACCTTCAAACCCATGGATCTGGTACTGGACCGGACTTCCTGGATCGTATTTCACGTCTGTCATCTTTTTGTTACTCCAAAACAAACAAAAAAAAGTCTTTAAACTGAGCGATGACAGCAGTAGTGTGGAAGTTATGGGGTTTATTAATTTTACATTTTCATTACAGATCAAAACAGTCAGATTTCAGTCAAATCAGTAAACTGTAGGTTGCAAACAACTAAGACATTTAAATACCCGTCTGCTCTCCGCCCAGCTAAACTGTTCCCGGATCAGACTCTCTCACATTCGGGTCAGCCCCAGTGAACACGCACCGTCTACCGAACTGACTTGACTGAATAAACAAATGATAAGACCTGGGCCACACAGACCGCTCTGCTGCTGCCAGCCTCATCTTTCTACATGCTTGCCTTAGATAAATACAAAACAGTAAAAGCTGCTGACAAACGAAGGGACTCGCTGGAGGGCTTTGAATCTGAAACACATACAGGAGGTGTGGAGTTCATGAGTTCATGTCTGTGACAAATTCTGCAGATACAGACATCAAAACTGTAGTGAAAGGTTTATTGTTGCTGGTAGGAAGTCAGTGTGACCATCAGCAGATCATCTTTACTGTGTGTTTTTGCTGAGAACAGAGAAAATGGGCGAGACGCTGCAGCTGCTGTTAATGTGACTGTACAGCTGCTCAAATGTAAAAACACGGGCGCCCAAATGAAAGGCAAGATGTTCCTCGACACACTTGTGAACTTAATTAATTAGTTCTTAGATGACGGTGCAAACAACATCATCATTTATAGCATTGAGTATATTAAAAAATATATTTTTAAACTGACTCAAACTTTGACTTGTCAAATATCCAAGAAGTGTCTGAGAGGATGAGGTTTGCTGACTCACCGATCAACACACCTGGAATGTTTAGGTGAACTTTGACAATCCAGATTTACCTGTTAACACCAGGAACAACAGTGGCCTGTACTACGAAGCGGGGAAACTGGCTTATCCAGGTAACTTACACATGGCTTCATAAAATCTGTTTAGATTTCATGCTGATTTGCTCCACTGCGGCTGCAATCAAGTTCTGAACACAACAGCATCACGTTCAGACAGCGAGCCCTGAAGCCTCGGGGATTTTAAAGAGGAAGCTTAATTAATTAACGGGATAGTTTGGTAGATGGAGCCCATCTGTAGGCTATAATTGAATTCTCCTGAGTGTTTTCACATATTTAGATTGACTATTTTAACTGTCCAAAGACTAGGGAGCCAGGGTGAGGGGTAATAAACAGAAAAAAATCCTAGATGAAAGTGTGAAATTTACAAGAAGAAAAATTGGAAATTCCCTGAAATTAAAGTCATAAAAACTCAATCACTCTGGGTTTTTCTTTTTCTGAATATGGCCAATCCAAGGCAAAGTCTCTTCAGTGCATGATAGTGATTGTGGGCTAAACTATTTCCTCACTGCTAATTGCGATTGCAAAGTTTAATACAACTTTCCAGTGTATAGCCTACTACACAGCAGACGTGTGTGAGGTCGCAGCCTCGCAAAGTGAAGATTCTCTCATAAATGTGTGACTATAATGTCAGAATATTCAAGCTTTTTACTTGTAGATTGATCTTGGAAATTAAATTCTGTCTCGGATTATTCCCCCTCTCCGCTGGCTCCTTTTTTTTTCTATTACAATGGACCTTCTGTGCAGTTGTACCTTACAAATAAAAGAAGAGCCCATAAAATACATACAATAAGAACACTGTGAAGATAATTAGGCTACAAATTTACTCAATGCGATGCCAACTAGCCTCCCTGGCTTTGTCGTCCGCCACGATATTAGATTTAGCCGTTAACTTGTCTTTACATTCACGGAGCATGCGCCGTTGCGGAAAAACTCTGCCTGCACGGCCGAACACGCCTCTGATTAAGTTAACACCGAGTTAACACGGACTCAACTAAACAATGTCTTATCCACCTTCGTAGTACCGTTTAACTCCAGTGTAGGCGGTCAGAGTCAGGTTGAACTTCCTTCGTAGTGCAGGCTGTCGGCAGTTTTATGGGTGTGACTGATGTTTCTGTTTGACCTAATACACATTTAGTAATTACAGTTTTGAAGTATTTAAACTCTTTTTCATTTCTAGACCATAAACATGCTCACGCTCACCATGGTGGCCACAACAACTCGGACCACGACCACGACCACAGCGAGCGCTCTGGTGGAGAGAGTGGCAAAAGCATCACAACAGGTTAGACTAAATCTGAAACTGATCTCTCGTTCAGTAACACTCGACATTTCAGTTTCTTACAATGTTTAGACCTGTGGAGGTTGATTAATAAATGGCGAAGTTATATATGTCGTGAAGTCTCGGTTAGCTGAGGTGTCTGATCTGTGCGTTGCAGCGTGGGTCGGCGGGTTCGTCTCCATCACGATCATCAGCCTGCTCTCCCTGCTCGGCGTCGTCCTCATCCCGCTCATGAACAGAGTTTTCTTCAAGTTCCTCCTCAGCTTCCTGGTGGCGCTGGCTGTCGGCACGCTGAGCGGCGACGCCTTCCTTCATCTCATCCCCCACGTGAGTCTTCGCCACGTCCAGACGCTTACAACTCAAGTTACCACGGGAAATCTTGCAGCACGTGTTCGTCATACATCAGTTTGGCCTCCATTGCAGGGAATTGGCAGCAGTGATTAGTAGCGTTGGCAGTTTGTGCTCAGTCTCTTTATGTTTGTGGATGCTTCAGGCTCAGGGAGGCCACCACCACCACCACCACGAGGATTCTGGGATGAATGTCTCTGTGGGAGATCACGTCCATGATGAGCGAGAGGAAAACCTGGACGCTGTGTGGAAGGGCCTGACGACTCTGAGCGGAGTCTACTTCATGTTTCTAATCGAGCACTTCCTGACGCTGGGCAAAATGTACAAGGACAAGAAACAAAAGGTCAGAGTTGGACCTGTTTTTTCCTGCAGTTGCACACACGCTTCCTGTCCTAATTCTGATGGGCCACGATGCTTTTCAAAGTCTCTCCTAAAAAAATTTAAAACTGTTAGCTGGTCCTTTTCACCAGGCATTAAAATGTGTCTCTTATCCAGATTGTATCTACCTGATTACATTTACACCTGGTGTTATTGTGTGTCCACATTCAGAACGTCCTTTCTGTTATTTTATTATTTTATTTTATAGATTTTTATTCAACAGCGCTCACAAACTAATAAAACAGTAGCTCGTTCAATGATCGGTGCTCTTTAAGCACGTTCACGCGTTGCATGGCCTCACTGCCTGTCGTCAGACTTTTTATTTTAATTTTTTAAGACTAAGATGGACCGATATTTCCGCCACATAGTTATTGTATGTGTATGTGCTGGATGTTCATTAGGGGTGGGAATCACCAGAGGCCCCACGATACGATATTATCACGATATTATGTTAAATATATTGAGAGATATTGTATTACCTTTTTCCAACTTCCAATTAGGTCCCTAAAGTCCAACTTTGTCAACATCTGTTTATCTAAAAAGAGAAATTTCTCTGTTTGTTCATATCACTTTTTCAGTCCTGTTAAGTTTTCTAGTGGAGTAAAAGAGCAATAGATTTTATTATTCTGGTACCAAAAAGTTAAAACTTCCATCTGCAATTTATATAATAAAATATCGATACTTGGCATCCGTGTATCGATACAGTATCGCCGTGGCAAATATCACGATACTATTCTGTATCGATTATTTTCCCCACCCCTAATGTTCAGCAGTTAAATCATCTCTGGGACAGTTTATGCAGCTACCAACTGAACTAACTGATTCAGTAGAGCGGGTCCCACCGTTTGGTGGTGGAGAAAGTGAAATTTTAATGCCAGGTTGTAAATAAATAGGTGTGAACACAGATACTGAGGTTTCAGTACCAACACAAAATGTTTTATCGTTGTTTCTGTGGCTCTTCATGCGGTGTCATGAAATAAAAATGTGGTCCCAACAGATCCAGAAGAAGTGGGACCAGAACGACAAAGCAGATCCAGAGAAGCTGCCCGCTCTGGAAGAGAACGACCAAAAGCCGACTGAAGGTGAGACGCAACACGAAACAAACACACCGGAAGGAAAACCTGGAATACTTTCTGAAAATGTCTGTTAGGATTCAGCCCCTGAGACTAAATGCAGGTAAAAAGAGAAACACTTTTTCTTCAGGTAGCAACAAACTCTTTGATTCCCAAAGACCTAAGAATAACAAAGTTGTATCACCGTTTTACATCCAATAATATGTAATGTAATAAAGCCTTAATGCTGTTTTAGCTTATAACAAGGTGTAATGGAGTCAAGAAACAAGAACAGTCAGAGATGAGGTATGATGTTGTTAAGAACAGTGTCTCATCACAGAGTTCCCACCGCAGTTATTTTTAACTCTGTAAAATGTGCAGCTCATCTTTGAGGAAAGCCGTGTCACACGTTTGTTGTCATGGCGTTTTCAGTGTTCCTCATCTCCGAGTCAAACTCATCAAAGACTAGTCCGGGTTCAGTAATATCAACAGTAACTAAACAAAAATCTCCTTCAGACGTCAGCAGTGAGGATAAACGTGCTGCGTTGTTGGCGTCTGTCTGTGGTCGTGCGTCCGACTCGTTCTTTCCTTTCAAACGAGATGACCTCAGTTTTATCGTCTTCCTCCAGATGTGGAGACCAACGGGGCCGGTATATTTGGCCACCACTCCAGCAGCTTGCACGGCGGCGGCGTGGCGGAGGAGGAGCAGGTGATGCTGGCGCCGCAGGTGTCCGTCGTCTCGCCGCAGGGTTACAGCGGAGCGTCGGGGGCCGCCGCCTACACCGCCGAGGACTGCGAGAACAAATGCCACTCCCACTTCCACGACACGGTGGGCCAGACGGACAGCATGCACCACCACCACCACGACTACCACCACATCCTGCACCACCACCACTCCCAGAACCACCACCCTCACAGCCACTCCCACTCCTACTCAGAGCAGCACTTCCAGGAGGCCGGCGTGGCCACGCTCGCCTGGATGGTCATCATGGGAGACGGGCTGCACAACTTCAGCGACGGCCTGGCCATCGGTGAGTCGTTTTACTGTAACACATGACCTCCGAAGCATATTTCTAGCCAGGCAGAAAGGTTGGTTAAATTAGCTGAACAGAAATATTAACTTATGTCTTGATTAAACATTTCTCTCCCTGTTGTCCAGCATGTGTTAGCTTGTTAACAATCAGATGACAGTGGGGTTTGAATATTTTGACATCACTCTGCAGGAGCTGCCTTCACTGAGGGTCTGTCCAGCGGTCTCAGCACGTCTGTGGCTGTTTTCTGCCACGAGCTGCCTCACGAGTTGGGTAAGACCTTCCAACGTCAGTGTTAGTAGCACGAGTGAAGCTTTAACATTAAAATCCTGTATTATCTTGATATTTATGTGCAACATTGTTTATAAATGTCTTCAGTAAAATGTTTAATCAGTTCTCTCTTTAGATCTCATTCGATATCTTTACAGGTTTTTTAAACGTTTTGTCTGGAGTTTACGGTTTACTCTGTTTCCCAGGTGACTTTGCGGTTCTCCTGAAGGCCGGTATGACGGTGCGTCAGGCCATTCTCTACAACGTGTTGTCGGCCATGATGGCCTACTTGGGTATGGTGACCGGTATCTTGATCGGACACTACGCAGAGAACATCTCCACGTGGATCTTCGCCCTCACAGCCGGGCTCTTCATGTATGTGGCTCTGGTGGACATGGTGAGTGAACGCTGCCCCTAAAACCAGTACAGCTGACAATCATAAGATCCTGAGCTTAAAGACAAACAAAACAAAGTACCAGCTGAGAGCCAACACAGCTGTTATGATACAGAAACTGCAGATACCTCTGCAGACCCTCCTGGTGGACGTCAGCTGCTGCTTCCTGGTACAGGTCCTTATTGTAACCCCAACAAGTCTTCTATGATCGGGTTAATATGAATCAAAATGTTGTCTTTTAATTTCAATCTCAATAGTTGAACCCTTTGTACAGATTATAATAAATTGGCCTTTTGACAAAATAATCTTAACCCACTGGGTTGGATTTGGAAAACGAAGCACGGTTTTACATGAACGAACCACTTTCTAATGATTCTGTCCTCTGTACTTGTGCACAGAACAGCAATAATACATGTACAGTAGAAGGTACAAGTTACAAATGACGATGCTCCATCTACGGTTTCTAAATTGAAAGCTGTGGGAAAAAAGTACTAAAAGGTGCATCTATGTTATTATGTTAAGACGCAGAAACAAACTGCTGGGCTCTTTCCCACCGAGTCAGGAGAACTGAAACTCCTCTGCTCTCGTCCAGTCGGCAGCGTCTGTTCTGTCGACTCAACAATGTCTGGCTCTCAGCAGCCGTCAGGACCAGATGGCCTCTTCTCACACTTACTCTCTTTAAAACCTGCACACATGACAGGTTTATAAAAGCAGGAGAGAGGAGAGCCATCACAACCCGCTGCTGTCTGGAGAACACAGCAACACTTCTGCAGTCCGAGGCTGCCCTCTTGTGGCCGCTGCTCAGCACTGCGCTCTGTAGAGCAGACTCCTTGTTAAGTCTTTATAAGAACATAATAATCTTCGCCACAGGTGTCCTTTTTAGCGCAGTGAGGTCTTGTAGCTTAACAAGCTGGTCGTTAACTTCCCTGTATGTTCCCAGCTGGGTGAGTTAGGACGGACCTCAAACAGAGAGTTCAGCACTTTCCAGATGCTGCCTGCAGTCAGAGGTGAAGCTGTTGGAAGGTGGAGTTTTTTCCTTTTTAGATGGAGCTAACTAGTATTTTCTCCCTCCAAGTATTTGTGCTAAGCTAGGCTAAAATCTGGACACACAGATGAAACTGAAATCCATCTGAAACATCTGACTCTGGAGAGAACGGTGCCAGAGAGGATGAAGGAGTCTCATTAAACAAATGTTACCAGGCTGCACAACTACGGAGCCAATAAAGCTAAAAAAAATATTATTGAACTGTTTTTGATAAGTTTTATTGTTTTATCGTGCATGTTTTCACTGCAGAGTGTTTTCAGAACCCAGTCAGAGATCAGTGTGACTTCACGCGCCTTATTGTTCTTCCCAGGTGCCCGAGATGTTGCATAACGACGCCGGCGACCACGGCTTCAGCCACTGCGGCTTCTTCCTGCTGCAGAACGCCGGCATCCTGCTGGGCTTCTGCATAATGCTGCTGATCGCCATTTTTGAGCACAAAATCCAGCTGGACCTGGGATACTGAAGGAGAGCTGTTTCACCCTGAGCTCCTCCACGTGTCTCCGTCAGAAGCGTTGTGTGCTTTTATTTGTTGTTCTACGCAGGTCCAGTCGCCTTGATTTAGTTGGTATTTTCACCTGCTGTAGGAAGAAGCATCAGTTCAAATGTTATGTAGGAAGTTGCAGAGCGGTTTCTCTCTGTGTCGACAAACTCGTGACCTCTAAATGGGAGATAACGGTGTAAAAAAAAACACCACCAGAAGCCTCATTCCATCATTTTTCACGTGTTGGCAGGTCATATTGACAATGAATCCAATGAGACGTGAAGGCAGCAGGCCCCCCGACATCTTTTGCCATCATATTTAATTCTGTTTTTTTTTATTTAATTTGTCTGATTTTGTGGTTTGTTTATCTTATGTGTTTCTGCTGCTGAGTCAAACCAGATCAGTATTCCAGTAGATACCTAGAGCACCATCAGCCCCACCGTTAGTACAACGCCGTACTGGGTAACGAGTTACATTTAAAGTTTTTAAGGTGATGTAAAACTGTCTCTTGTTTCCTGTTGGAGTTGGTTGCTTTGTTCAACCCGCGTTTCAAAACCCAAAGATATTCAGAAAGAAAACCACAAAATATCAATTTTAGAAGCTGGAACCAGTAAATAATAATGAATTAATGGTAATAATATATTTTTATTCTTGTTACAGAATCATTATCTGTTGCTTTCAGCTCTGTGTGTGTTGGAGTGGCTCCCCCTTGTGTGTGTTGTGGCTTAGTGCAGCAATGACAGGATAAAACTATTCTTTATCATTTGTTACATTTATAAAAAACTCGGACTCTGCAGAGGCACGTTTGCATCACTTAAAGAGTTTATCAAGTTAAAAAAAAAAAGCAACACGAGCCTCGTCTCGTAGCATCATGTCACGCTTGAATCAGGCGGACTTTACAGACTGTACAGATCTGGGAGCAAAGCTCTGACGTGCTTCACAGAGAGCAGAAGGGTGCTCTGACGTGTGCTTTTACCACGCTGCTAGTGTTTGCTGCCTTTAATATCAGAAAACCATGTAAATGAAGTTCTCCTCTGGCCTCAGAAAGCTCTGAGACGGGAGGACAACCAGAGTGAGGATATGAAGCCGCAGTAAAATCCAGGAGGTGGTTTGGAAATCGCGGCCTTTTATTCAGTCTGATGGTCTTTCTTTAACCACGTTAGGAGCATCAGCCTCTCTGTGAGGAGGCCTCGGGGAGGGATCAGAAATATAATGCAAAGTTGCATTTTGTACGTTGAGCTAAATCAGCAGGGAGTCCGTCCATTAAGAGAACCTGATTGGTTGTCATGGCAACGAGCTCCTTAAATTAGACAAAAAGACACAGCTGTGTTTAGTTGAGACGAGTCTTTACACCTAAACTGGATATTAAGTGATTATTAACAATTAATTATCCTTTCAATGATGTTATCACTGAGGATTAAATGAAAACTCAGATCCTCTTTTGTTGTCACCTGATTTTCTGAACTGTGCGTATTAAAAACCGCCTCAGTTCACATTTTGTGTCAAATTGCAATTGAAATAGTTTTTGGTGTCGAGCATTTCCTGTTACGACTTGTGAACGTTTGCATTTATGCCGTTTGTTTGTGATCAGCTGCAGAGTTCAGAACAGGTCTTAGTTTTGTTTTCTTGTGAGACGTGCACTAATTTGTGAGGTAGAAAAATCAACAAGAGATGTAACATGTTAGTAATGTGGAGCCTTAAAAAAATAATCGTCTCTCCTGCGAAGGTTTTTGATGTGTGATTGAAAGCAATTATCAAAAAAACAAAAGTGAACCTGGATGAGTTTGAATTTGGCTTCAAGGGGGGGGGGGCGCTCTTTCCATTTTGGCCTTGCAGTCTAAACACTGGGCAGATCTGACGTGTGGTCTCTGCTGGGAAGTGAACCCCAAACCCTGACAGGTCTGCACATGTGGAGCAGAACAGGATCTGCATTCCTATTCATTTTAAAGAAATGTTTTGTGTTTTGGATCAAGGCTAATTCCAGCACACCAGTGTGTTTTTGTTGTTACGTTTCCTTTTAATTTTAAGGCTGCCTGTTTATACAGATAAGCTTTAAGAGTTTATATGGGGGTTTAGAAAGAAAAACACCTGGAGAGGTCTTGACTCTGTTAAAGTTAGTGGTGATGGTGCATGTTGGCAGCTGTTTGATCGAGCATGTCGAATTAGGGGTGAAAGTGACGACGACATCAGTGTGTTTCCTCTTTTATATTCAAAGCACCAGAATGTGTTTGTTAAACGCCATTTAAACACGCGCTCAGTGATGTGGTTTCTCTGCCAAAATTTGATTTCCACTTTTCTCCAAATATCTCCAAATTAACACTTTCACGCACAACTCGAGGTGACTTAGCAGGCGTGTTAAAGCGAGTAGGGTTTGACTTTCTATTTCCTGTTTGTCTACAAACGGGTGGAACACTATCAGTGACTTGTAGAAGAGACGGTCTTAAACTTTAAGCGATATCACATTGCGGCCCTAACCTGGCCCTCAGGAGCCTCACTGACTGGTTGGCCATGACCTTTGACTTCTCTGTGAAACGTGTACAGGTTTGTAAGAGAAAAACCAAATACGTCGTCTGACAAATGCCAAGAAACTAAAGCAAATGTTGGCATCAAAAAGGGGAAACTGTTTGCTGTCGTGTGTGTTTTTAAATTATTTTTTTACTTTATTGTTACAGTTGAAGAGTTAACGTGGCAGCTCAGCACCGATCGTATGCAGAGAAAACTTCTGTGTTAAAGTTTGTTAAAATATTACTCCAGTTCGGTTTAAATGTGGACTTTGATTCCAGTGACGTCTTCATGAGCTCAGTTTGAACGGTTTTCTTTGTCAAGGTGTTTTTTTTAAAAAGCTCTGATGTTTAGGTCAAATAAGAAGAAATTATTTTCTGGCTTTAACCGCTCAGAAACCCACAAAAAGCAAGTTTCTCACTGTGTATATTACATGTACAATATAATTCAAAATGTATATATTCATGTACAAGTTTGTGTTTCAGTTGTCGAGTGTACTTTCAGTCACTGTGCTGTTTGTTGTTACGTCGTATTCAACACAAACCTAAAGAATCTCATTCAGAGAAATATTGGTGTGGAAAACGTCTTTTTGTCTAAAGGAAAAGATAAAGTGTTTGTTCTGTTCATGAAGGTGGATTAACTCATAAAGACGACATCCACACAGCTCTGCGGTAAATACTCACGATTCAATGATCTGAATCCATCATCTTTGTTTTGAAAATGTTTTAACTGACTCGCTGATCTGACTCATGTCTGAGGTTATTTGTGGTTGTGTTAAACTAAAGTCGTGTCAACAGGGATCATCAGGCTCCAACTGAAAATAAAATAAATCTAAAACAGGATAACATCTGTGTCAAAGTGGAGCTGCGGTCAGAAGCGGCGGGTCTCTAACGTTAAGAACGAAATAAATTTCATCCCAAGTTCATCAAAATTACACAAACTTTTCTTTGTTTGTTGTGATTTATTCCAACTCTTGTCTGCAATGTTTTTTCTTAATCGTTCACAAAATATAGTGTTTCTTTTTCATAGGTAAAACATATTTACAACAAAAAGATGAAAGAAACCCAAATATTTTGAACACAGGACGGCATGTTGGAGGCGATTTTTGCAGCACGTAACTGTCAAGTACGGAGACATTTTTTCTTATTTCATCAGATATGAATTGTTGATTGAATCATTCCTCAGTGAGGCTTTATTTAACATGAGACCATCTGAACAACTCCCTCTTATATTCATGACTTCCTCACAGAGGTCAGACGATGCTGACGTTTATAAAAATGTCTTGTTTTTTTTGTTGCAGCTTCAATGAGTTCAATTTGAATATTGAGTGTATTTTATACTCAACTGTTTCATTTTAAATACATCCCCATGAGTTACATTTGAAAGCAGCTCAAATCATCGTTTTGTTAATTTTGTAGTGTGCTGAGGCAGATTTCTTATATGGCTTTAACAATGCATGTTTCTCTAAATGTGTGTGTATGTAAACAAGGTATTTTGTCATCACCACCAAAACTCTGGTAAAGGTTCAGCTGTTGTAAATGTTTCAGCCACCCAGCCTCATTCAGAAGAACACCTTCACCAACATTGACTCGCTGCTTAAAATCACAATTAATCATCTTTCTGTGGCCTCAAAAATGAACGTTGAGTCCAGTCAGCACCTGTAACTGTCTCCAAAAGAAAGAGTTTCACCAAACTGATATTTTGCTGCAGTGGTTTAGACGGTGTTTCTGTTATTTTGTCCACCTCTGTATTGACTCACTGCACCTTCAGGCAGCTTTGATGTTGACTCAATTTGCTCTGTGACATTCCTGAACACAAATAAACTCGCTCACCTTCCTTCAACACTCTGCCTCACCCTCATCCTGTTTTGCCTGGACAGCGAAAGGTTATGATTTCATATTTCCTCTTCCTGAATAATGCAAAACTATTATTATCGCCAACCACTTATCCTGTGTACAGGGTCGCAGGGGCCAGAGTCAGCTGGACAGGTCGGCAGTCCATCGCACACCATTATTGATAACATTTTTTCAAGGTGTTCATTTGTAATTTTTTATAAAAGAGCGAGAAGATACAGTGGGGAGAAAAAGTATTTGATACACTGCTGATTTTGCAGGGTTTCCTACTTACAAAGCATGTAGAGGTCTGTCATTTTTATCATAGGTACACTTCAACTGTGAGAGACAGAATCTAAAACTAATTAATTAGCATTTTATTGCATGACATAAGTATTTGATCACCTACCAACCAGTAATTCCAGCTCTCACAGACCTGTTAGTTCTTCTTTAAGAAGCCCTCCTGTTCTCCACTCATTACCTGTATTAACTGCACCTGTTTGAACTCACATGATACATACACACACATATATATATATATAGATAGATAGATAGATGTATGTGTGTGTGTGTGTGTGTGTGTATAGGGTCCTAGTGTTCGACTCCAGCAGTGATTTAAAATGTGAAGCAGAAGAAAAAACGATTATTTTAAGCCAAAAATATATTTTTTTATTATTCTATAGTATTCATCAATATTCTTGCTTCTCTTTGAGTACATGTCTGCACTGTTAAAAAAAAATCTAAATCTAATAATTATTATTATTTGGGGGACTGAGGACCATGTTAAGGTAGCTTCAGCCCCCCTAAAATAGGCCTAACGACATCCATGGTAATTGTCATAATAATCTATGAAACGACATTGGATGAAACATCTTCAAGGAAACTGATGAGGAAAGTTCAGTGTCATGCCCCCTCTCTCTACAGGTGAGCTATTTTAAGTAAGTACTGTGTAAAACAGCTGTAGTGGACCAGTCAACAGTCTGTGAGTATTCCTAAACACAGCTTGTCAGAACGTAAATGTACAAAATTATAACCAACAACCTAAATATTCTGATAAAAAAGCAATTGTGTTTTTCTTAGTGAAATCTAAACTTACAGAAACTTATACCTGACATGGAAATATGACTAAATAATAATAATAAACTGTGTGAGGCAAATACAAAAGATGATTTAGTGTAAGAGCTAAAGCGAGAAACGTATAACTGATGTGACAGACAGAGAACAACAGATATCCAGCAAAATCTATTTATTATCACGTCTAAGTCACATAACATTACAATAATTAAGCACTGTTTCCAGTAAAACCACACATATTTATTATCACATCTGGTACTGACATCTTAATAGCCACATTTCAATGAGATTATTTACATGTCATTTCTAGCATTTGAAGTACAATTAGGCAACAAAAAGCAATAAAAGATTCTCACTATATGTTACTGATAAATGTTGGTTTACTGGAGCTCACCTGTCCTGGTTAACATTTCCAATGCTATCTAAAAGAAGTTCAAACCAAAACAGTATGTTTAATTATAAACACATAATTAGAATGATTTAAAAGTACTGCTATTAATACTTTAGTAATACTTTGTTCTCTTATTTTTATTAAAATGCTGGATAATGAAAAGAAGTTAGGATCGAATCCTAATCAGCATGCTAACATGCTATATCAATGTGCTAACTTTACTTTGCAAGATGTTAGCGTGTTACTATCATAGCAATATTTAATATATGCATAAATTGTAATCATGCTAACATACTAATGATCCTACCACAGCTAAGCTGTACAGATTTGTTGTAGCACTATACTGTAAAAACCTTACAGTGCGGCTAACATGACTGCAGACTTGTAGTCATGTTTTTTCTTAATATCCAAAGAAACTTGTAAATTTCTTGAGCAAACCTTTCTTTTCTTTCCTCTCCTGTTTTTCTTTAGACAATTCCTCCTCTGTTTTTGTAAGTTTGTCTCGTTTGGCTACTTTGGAGATGATTTTCGCTCTGTCCTTCATAGCTTCCAAAGACTGAATTCGAGCCTGGTAACCGGCTTTGGCCTCTGACTTTTCTCCTTCAATCAGCATGTCGATGTACTCGGGAGTGGTCAGAGGGTTAGGCCTCAGGGCGATCTCCTGCAGACGAGTTATGCTTTGAGCTGACTGATCCATCAGGGACACCATCATGTCTTGAAGGTGAACGATCTCTTCCTCTTGCCTCTCAATCAATTCCTGAACAGTCATCTTTTCTTTCGTAGCTTTTTCATACTTGTCTTTTAGCTCTTGCAGTGTTCGCTTCTCTTTTACTTGAACATAGTCCCACCTGTATGTCTGGTTGAAATGCACATTCCAAATGCATTTTCCAGGGCAGACAGTGCACCTCCCTGTCCTATCCATTGCTGCACAGCCATGTTTAGCACTATCATCTGCTATCATACATGGGTAGTGGCATGTAATTGAACACGTCTGGCAGTTGGTAATGTACTCTCCTTTCTTTGTGAGCTGTATTTGGACAGGCTTAATAACTTCTACCTCAATCTCGTAGTTTTCATTTGAAGTCATGACTGTTTCATGGTCTTTAATCTTTTCTTTGGTTGTTTTAATTTCTTCAAGTTTTGCTAATCCAGCTTTAACTTGTGGTTGCAAACCTTCAACAGCTGTTTCAAGCCGTTTTCTTTCTTTGAGAACCTCTTGGGTCATTAACAAGCTTTTGGTTGTCAATTTACCCAAAGACGTGAAGAACTTCTCCATGCTTTTGGTGCCCATGTTCCAAAACATTTCATCGAAGTTGTCATCATCCTCATCATCACCACCACTGGTCCTGTCACTGATGCTTCTGTTATCTGCAAACAAGGCAGAGTTGTTGAATTTGAAGTGAACTGGAAGCCCTATGTCATTTTTTGGACATGGAACCCCGGAGACGTTTATTGCCTCGAGAACCGGTGGCTGCTTGCCATCTGCAAAGGTCACCAGCATCTCAATGTTCTCTGCCACATCTTTGCCAAAAATGGAGAGCACCGAGTCAAACACATATCGTTGTGTTGCTGTTAGTCGGGCAAGAGAGGCCTGAGTAACAAAACAAACCGCATCAATCTCACTGACTCCATTAACAGAGGTGAAAAGCCTCCGGATTTGCTCTGTGATCTCCTTGTCTCTTCCTATTCCTCTTGTATCCCCAAACCCTGGTGTGTCCACAATGGTCAGAGAGAAGGGAATCTGAAACCCGTCCTGGTGGTTGATATTGTACACAGTGACTTCAGAGGTCTGGCTTTCAGCTTGTGACCTCGACTGATCCTCCTCAATTAATTTAAATCTGAAATTGTCCTTCCATTTTACACCAACAATGTAGTTGATCAATCCATTGATCAGGGTGGACTTTCCAGATCCAGTTGCTCCAAGAAGCATTATTGTGCGATTTTGTCTCATGCTTTCTTTGCCAAAGTCATACTTTCGGCATCCATCGATGTCCATATCTTCTTCTTCTTTCAGGGGCAGTTTGTAAACTGAGGGGGATTCAGAATTTATCTTCTTGCTAACATGTTTGAGGAATTCGGCAAGACGCGCAAATTCACGTTTTGTTGTGCAGACATTAACAGAGATGCTCTCCTTGCTTCTTCCAGCTGCACCACAGTCACATCTGACCCTGACAACATATTCTGTCTCTGGCTGAAGCCCTGAAATGATCGCCTTTTCAGCTCTCGACATCATTTGCTTCCATTGGAGATCTTCCTCTTTCACCCCGTTGTCTGTTTTGGCGTACTCCACGATGTAGCTCAAAATCTGGACATCTTGTCCAAGCTCAGCAGGTTTCTCCCAGCTGACTGAGATCTCACTTGAGTTTGGTTCAACCTGAAGTTCTCCAGGAGGGCTGCAAGGTAAGGTTTTAATGGAACCACTGGCTTCATTGGCCGGCCCAACACCTGCTGAAGTCACTGCTCTGCATCTGAACATATACTCTGTGTTAGGACTCAGATGGCTCACTGTCACTTCTCCAGCTTTTGATGCTGTCTCTTGTTGCCATCCATCCTCTCCTCTGACACAGTACTCTACAGAGTAGGAGGTGATGTTCTCTGCTCCAAATCTGGGCGCAGAAATCTTCAGTGTCACACTGTTGTGCTTTATGTCACTTGCTGTTACTGTTTCAGGCTTTGAAGGCGGCTCAAAGTTCTCATTGACAGAAAAGGCGCCTTCATAAAGGTAGATGCTTGAACCTTTCTGTGTCTCATTTGTTAATCCCACTGTCAGGAACTTTATGTTCTTGTTCTCCTTGTTGGCCTCTGCAAAGTCACTGAAGAGCTTTGCTTTATTCCTCATTGCATCTGGCACTTTGTTTGAAAGATACCATTGTTCTTTCTCTACATCTCGAGTATGTGCATCTTGAGGGTCGTCTGGTTCGGGTGTTTGTTTTAAGTAGTTAGATAAAGCTGAGAGGTACGGTTCAGCACTTCCCAGGGAGGTGAAAACAAAACACACAGCATGATCTGCACTGAGGGTTTCTTCACTAAGAACATTCTGAGAGGGGATGATCTTGGTGTTTTTCATCATATTGGTAAACGATTTCAAGATGCAGATTTCTGTCATTTTACAGTCCATCCACTCGTTCAGGTCTTTGCTGTTGAAAGGAGAAGAATGTCTCTTCTTCAGGATCTCTGCGAGCACAGCCTCCTCTTCTCCTCCTCCTCGGATTGATGGAAGTTTCTTTGCCAATTTTCGTTGGAATCCCAGCTTGAACTCAGAGCACATCTCTTTAAAGGTTTTAATCTTTTTGCCAATCTGTGGGAACTGCTGTACGGTGGTGGTTCTCATTGTGTCATTGCACCTCATTTCCAGCTCACTGAAGTCCTCCAGGACTCTCTGTGATTCCTGAACTAATCCTATACTTATCTGACGGACCAGTTTTGCAGCAGAAGAATCTAAACTTGTCAGTGGCAACAGCCAGACTTTCATCGGTACAGCCTTTTCTCCGTTGGCTCCCAGTAATCTTGGCAGGCTTTGGTAGACTTCTACTGCATCCTGAAAGGACACAGGACTTTTTTCAAGAGAAAAGTCTCCAAAGAATCTGCAGGAGAATTTCTCAACATTTTCTCTGTCTTTGTCTTCCAGTTTCAGGGAACCTTCACCCTCTATAGCAAGGCAGGGAATCTTCTTGATCATCACCTTCAAGTTCCCCTCAATGTCTTGATGATCTTCTTTTTTAGACACCTCACGGTCAAAGACAAAGAAGGCTTGTGCCCCATAAAGAATACCTGTGACTACATGTGTTGCTAATCCTTTATCAAAGACATATGAATGCTTCACATTGCCTCTTCCGAGATGATTCATCGACAGTTCCTCGAACTTTGTGGTAGTGTTGTACTTCAAAGTTACTCTGGCCTGATTTTTGGAAGTCTTATGATCATTCAGGTATTTGGCCGATCCTTCAACCTCAACCAGCCCACTCAAGAAACTTGCCTTCAGAGAGGCTTCAACATTTAGTGCTGAAGATTTGTCCTCAATTGATTCAGATGCAACAATCTCAAATTCAGTGTTCGGTTTTGGTCTTTCTCCTTTATCTTTTTCCAGGTCATTGCGGTCCCACAGTGTCATTCCTGCCAAAAAGAACAGGAGAAGTTAAGGTGAGACACCACAGTCTAAAATGAGGATTTTGCTTTAATCTGTCAATTTTCAGATTTCAAGTTATTTTGCAGATATTATTACCATACTTTAATAAAACCTACAAAACAATCTTGAATAATAGATACCGCAACTTTGTCAGCTTCATATTGTGCAAATTTTGTTGTGTTTGGAGCATGTCCAACCACAACTTTGCTAGTTTAACGGCAGGAAAAATGGTCTATGCACCGGGCCCATTATTCAAAAGGGTTGTACTTGGTCTGTGAATTAGTCAGGGGTCTGTTTTGGGCGTAACATGCAATACACCAATCAGAGTGTGATCTCCCATTCCTTTTAAAAGCTATGTTCGCTTGTACCTTGGCGCATATAATGGTGGATGAATGGTACATAATAAAAACCATCAATTGACTAATTGAATTGCTGACACAGCAGAGAGGGGAATATGGATAGAAGTGTTGACGTGATAAAAAAAACGTCTCTAATCAAGAAGCCTAATGTTCCTCTGCAGCTCTGCGGTTTATCCGTGAAGCAGACCGGAGTCTGTTAACAGACAGACAGAGGCTGTCTCCTCTCTATGAAATGTCTGGATCCTCATTATTATAAACTATATATAAACCGGTCGAGGGTCACATCTCCCCTCTACACTAGTTTCTTTATTTGTGTTTTATTGTAGTATTAGTGTTTTCTTTAATGATTTACTTTCATGATAAGAGAGACTGCAGTCAGTCATTTTAAATGTTTCCATGTGTGCAATAAAGTCACAGCAAATATGGGGCATTTAAGCAGCAGCAGCGGCAGCAAAAAAAAAAACTTGACAGGACAGAGGAAACTCTCCAGAGGAAACAGAATTCAAATTTTAACTTCTGAAATAATTTAGACACTCTGATGGAGCTGAGGATTGATCACGAGGACGGCTGCTTTACTCAAAACAGTTTTACTGTATGAACCTGGACTGTGTGTGAGAACTTTTCGATGTGAAGAAGCCCGCAGAACATTAATTAACATTAGATCCTGACCGATCTGGTCAGTGTGTCGGGAGATTTTAATCAATGTAATTACACTGCTGTGCCTTATGCGTAAATGCTGGAGGAGAGAGCACCTCCTCCCAGTTTGGACTGATCCTCATTTTTTGCTGCAGTCTAATCAAAGGAGTATACTTTCCATCAGGTTTGTGTGACAAGTGCAGCAGAGATGGGAAATGACTGTGCCAAAAAAAATAACAATGGAACCAGAAAAAACAGTAGGTACAAAGGCAGATTGCAGAGTTGGACGCAATCGTATTATGCATAGATTTCTCATGCAGAGAATTTCTGCATGAGAAAAACACCGGCCTTGTCCCGAGACGGGCTGACCGTCAGAGGTTACGTCAAATTAGGACATTCAGTCAAAATCAAACCCATCATTGGAGAGAGTGCAACACGAGCTCATTGTCAGTAAAGCAAGGTTACTATTGTCAGAATAGAAAACCATAGTTAGATAATGGACCGTCAGTGTGTGTGTGAGAGCTGTGTTAACTAGAATGTAATGTTCTAATGAATCTAAGGTTAACTAGAATGGGCATTTACTAAATGAATGTGTGTGAGAGCGGTCAGCTGTTAGTTGTGACTTCTACCAATGCTTCTGCAAAGTACTGCTTCATAAGCAATTTTTCAAATCCTAGAGCGCTACCTACAGGTAAAATATTTTATGTTAAAATATTAAAGCCGCAATCAGCGTTGGACGGGCCCTCGCAGGTGAAGCACGTCAGACAGTGTTGCATCCACGCTGCAGATGCCGCAGCTCTCCCGATGCGGCTCTGAATTGTCACACACTTTGGATGCAGCACAAAATACCTGCAACATAGTTAATAAACACAGTATAGGATATAGAAGTCACTTCCTGTGTCCCCTATGTGGCTCAAAGGAGCACCCAGTAACTATATGTTATGTCCCAGTACATCAAGTGTGGAAGTATTTTATTTAAATTGCATGATGAGTGTCACACAGGGCTTACTGCCTGTTGCCAGTAGGTGGCGCTATGAGTATAACAGAATATTGGCATGTAGATGTGTTGGGGGCGGGACCATTATTAATCACATAAAGTTTGGTACTGATTCCAGCATGTGCAGCGGAATTATAACAACTTCCTGTTGTTATAAAAGACCAGCAAAAAGCTTTCAACCGCGAACAATTTTGCATTGAAGCATCTGCTAAGAAACGTGAAGCCCGTAGAAAGAAACTCCGGCAGCTAACGTTACTGCCAGTGAAGCATCCACTCGGCAGGAGAGAGTGGCGTTAATCAACGTTTTGGGTTTTGTAAAAGCACTGATTACTTCTCTTGGGTTTTGTAAAAGCACTGATTACTTCTCTTATATAAATGCCTGTGCAAAACAGTGACGTTACTTCAACAGTCGAGACGCTCGCTTGATTTTTTAAAATCTCTGACAGTGGCATTAAAAAACCTTATATGCTTCGTAAAACTCATCCTCACTGTTATGAATACGCGATCAATGTCAGGAGGGACCTGCTTTGTTTTTTATTCTTTTTAAATAGCCAGGTTTTATCCATAGCCTCTATGATCCAGCATCCTCTGGTCTGAGAGGCTGCAGTGTTTTCTGTTCGGCTGCTTGTTGACTCGTCAGGTTAAATATTGTAAGTGGATTCATTTCTAAAATACGCTGCTGAACAGGTTTCCCGTTACTTTTAAGGTTGGGGTGTGGTGGTTGAAAGTCATTGTAACGTAACGAGTAACGTGACTACTTACTTTTAATACCCAGTAATAAGAAAAGTAATATTGTTACTTTTTAAATGAGTAAAACAATTTCTGAGTAATTTGCCCAACACTGCTGCTAGACATGCCGAGTGCTGCTTTCTGGCCACTAGTTACGCGCATCTCGGTGATGAAACTCGTCTATAGGTCCCCAGACAATATGTACATTAAAATGATAAACTCTAACAACAGTTTATGTTTCATTGTGGTTCAGTTCCATTTAGTAACTTTGCATGTGGATCCTTACCAGGGACGAGTGAATCTTGGCGGCAGTCGTACAGCATCCCGAGGCTGAACGGCCGGCCGAGCGCCGCCACCTCCATCGTTCTGCTGGCTTCAGAGTCCATCTCTTAGTCTAGACTAGAAAAAAAAATTCTTTGAGTTCACTCATGTAACTCTCCTGCTATCCAAACTGTTAGTCATCTGTCACCTTGGATAGTTGCTGTAGAAAAGACAATTTCGACTGAAGCCAAGAGTGAAATAATAATAACAAACTGAATACTCTTGACTGTTAGGAACAAAATAAACAGGCAAAAGAACAGGAACAAAGAGCAGAAGTAAAGTAAGTACCTGCAGATTATCATTAACTGGCAATGTATAAGTTTCAAGCTTCACATTTTTAGAATAAAACATTCACATTATAAGAAGCTGGAGCAAGTAATAATGTCACAACCCCTTTCACATCACAGTAACTTCATCTATTATAAAAATAAAAAGATTAATGCAGCTTTAAGTAAACAATTAATGTCGTTCCCCCTAATGTAAAGATCTAAATACTGCATACATTTTTGTCAAACTATAACAACAAGACTTTTATACCATCTCACAAAGTGAACATAAGGGAAACAACACAACATTTGGTCAGCTGTGGCTCAGGAGGTAGAGCGGGTTGCCCGTTAATTGGAAAGTTGGCGGTCCAATCCCCGGCTCCTCCGGGCTGCTTGTCGAAGTGTCCTTGGGCAAGATACTGAACCCCGAATTGCCCCTGGTGGCTGTTCCACCATCAAATATCTGAGAATATGACTGTTATTTGTATAAATATGTCACAATTCATTGAAAATTAACGTGATAGGCCTTCTTATAAACTTGATAATCCCCTCTCACTGTATAAAAGTGAAAGAGGATTATTTAAAAAAAAATTATAATTAATTTTTAAACAGGAGGAGATCTCCATTTGTGTAAATAATATTTCAGTCAGTGTTAGGGTTAGGGTTAGTCAGTCAGAGCTTAACTAGGTCATGTGACATATGACTTCAGTAAGAACAAATATTACTGGGACCACTACAGAAAACTGAAGGTGAAAATTTTATATACTGGAATTCACATCAGCTAAACTGAAGGAGGACCCTGAACTACACATGAACACAATGCAGCCTTGTTGTACACCCATATACATTGCAAACTTCTGTCTGTTCTGTGTAATAGAATATGGAAAACAGCAACAACAGGTCTTTACTCAAATCACATCTCATCTCAGAGGAATGAGAAGCACACACTCACCACTCACACTACAATTGTTTTTAACAAGAGGACCAGATGTTTCCTGTTGAGGCGATTAAAGCTATCAAAGAAATGATGAAAACACCCTGGGTCCTTGCACAAGGTTAAGCTGTGACATTTTAGACCGTCCAAATTTGGGGACAAAATGGTTAAATAAGTGATGGACAGGAAGATGATGTTTGCTCACACTAAAACTGTATAAAAGACCTTGCTTTCTGTATAAACAACAGTTACTGTGCAGACTAACTTGGGTCTTTGTTTATTCAGTAAAGAAAGAAAAAAGGTGGACTTCTGACCTCCTCTAACTCTTAAATAGGGGGTGGAGATGGTGCATAGATAAGATGCTTGCCTTTGGTGTGGGAGACCTATTCCCACTGTGATCCACCATTGTGTCCCTGAGCAAGACACGTAACCCCTCGTTGCTCCAGAGGCGTGCGACCTCTGACTGTATAGCAATTGTAAGTGGCTTTGGACAAAAGCGTCAGATAAATATAAATACAGTACTTTTTAGATACACCTCCTTAAAGGAAGATTTATGGGATTTCAGTTACACACATGATTCAATATTAGATTGCTGTTTACATCATTTACACTTTGGTTAATCAGCCACAGACTGCAGGACACTTACAGTTACACAGTAATGATACACAGCAGAACTGATGCAACAGCACATTGACAGAAAGAGCATTAGTGTACTTACAATAGAAATGTGTGTGTGATCCTCTGAGGCAGTGCTGTAGTTTCACACGTTATATCTTCTGAGAGAGAAACGCCCCCAGACCTTTATTCAGCAGTAGGAGGAGTCACAGAGGAAAATCAGGATGATTTCCCAGAAATCACATGACTGCAGGGACAAAATTAATCAGAGCCACGCAAAATCTGTGCCTTTGTGATAATGATAAATGTTAAGTGATGCAATAAAAACAATGCAGGTCTGTGACTTTGGTTGTTCTTTCTCTCATTTCTTTCTGTAGATTATCCAGAGTAGCTGGCACCCTGTGGGACTAGGAAATATTGTCCATTTTAAGAGGAGCTCCACACTAAATAGTTTTTTTGCACTTTACACATAATCATATAGATCTTTAGTGGCCTCAGTTCTTCTGCAAGGGCTGAATGTGCTGTATAATACGTTTTGGAAAGAACCCTGAACTTTATAGAAGTTTTCAATATGAGTTTTGCAAATGCAGCTTTCGCTTTCAGGTTTGCTTGTTGAGAAGTCCTTACGCCGAGTTATGTCCCTGTTTATCCTAACCCTCTGGTCGTGTAATTCCTCTTGTCTTTCAGGGATGGGAAGGGAGAGTAAATCTCATTGCTGCATTGCTGTAGATTAATTTCAATGATTTCAAAGATGCATTGCTGTAGATTAATTTCCAGACTCTTGAAACATTGGGGTGTTAGCCCAGTCCAGAAATCTTTCATGTTTTCACCTGTTTTCAACCCCCACCCCCGTTGCCGCCTACCCAAAGTACGTCTGTAAAGCAACAGTAAATGACCTCAACACAGTAACTCTAACATCTGTCTCATTTTCTGATAAAAATTAACACTGATAATATTTACTGGGGGGGTGCAAGCTAGTGGCCACGGCTCTCTTTACTCCTTCAAGTGGCTGCTCTATGCAGGGTAGGCAGCTGATGTTGAAGCTACTGCAGCTCCAGTACCAAACAGCCCCATAGGTTGGTCGGCCGGTAGCCTTTGCCAGATTTCCAGTCCAGCCCTGAGGCTACACCCTTTTAGACTGTCTGACAGACACAGAGCCCGTGTGGGACTGTAGCCTAATCAATGAGACAAGCGCACTGATTTTCATCAGAGGAAGGAAACCAAAACTGAAAACACTTTTTGACTGTTAACAGTTTTTCATCCCCTTCCTGTGCGGTGAAAACCATGTAGGTCTACATTATCTCCAGAAGTGGTGATTTTGAATGTAAACTGATTGAATTGAACTGTTCCTTTATAGGCTGAGAAAACTGTGCTTCTTAAGCTTAATAAAGCCCTCATAATCTTATAGAATATGATGCATTGCTGTAGATTAATTTCAATGATTTCAAAGATGCATTGCTGTAGATTAATTTCAATGATTTCAAAGATGCAATGCTGTAGATTAATTTCAATGATTTCAAAGATGCAATGCTGTAGATTAATTTCAATGATTTCAAAGATACATTGCTGTAGATTAATTTCAATGATTTCAAAGATGCAATGCTGTAGATTAATTTAAATGATTTCAAAGATGCATTGCTGTAGATTAATTTCAATGATTTCAAAGATGCATTGCTGTAGATTAATTTCAGTGATTTCAAAGATGCAATGCTGTAGATTAATTTCAATGATTTCAAAGATGCAATGCTGTAGATTAATTTCAATGATTTCAAAGATGCAATGCTGTAGATTAATTTCAGTGATTTCAAAGATACATTGCTGTAGATTAATTTCGGTGATTTCAAAGATGCATTGCTGTAGATTAATTTCGGTGATTTCAAAGATGCATTGCTGTAGATTAATTTCAATGATTTCAAAGATGCATTGCTGTAGATTAATTTCAATGATTTCAAAGATGCATTGCTGTAGATTAATTTCGGTGATTTCAAAGATGCATTGCTGTAGATTAATTTCAGTGATTTCAAAGATGCATTGCTGTAGATTAATTTCGGTGATTTCAAAGATGCAATGCTGTAGATTAATTTCGGTGATTTCAAAGATGCAATGCTGTAGATTAATTTCAGTGATTTCAAAGATGCATTGCTGTAGATTAATTTCGGTGATTTCAAAGATGCATTGCTGTAGATTAATTTCGGTGATTTCAAAGATGCAATGCTGTAGATTAATTTCAATGATTTCAAAGATGCATTGCTGTAGATTAATTTCAATGATTTCAAAGATGCAATGCTGTAGATTAATTTCAATGATTTCAAAGATGCATTGCTGTAGATTAATTTCAGTGATTTCAAAGATGCAATGCTGTAGATTAATTTCAATGATTTCAAAGATGCAATGCTGTAGATTAATTTCAATGATTTCAAAGATGCAATGCTGTAGATTAATTTCAGTGATTTCAAAGATGCATTGCTGTAGATTAATTTCGGTGATTTCAAAGATGCAATGCTGTAGATTAATTTCAATGATTTCAAAGATGCATTGCTGTAGATTAATTTCAATGATTTCAAAGATGCAATGCTGTAGATTAATTTCAGTGATTTCAAAGATGCATTGCTGTAGATTAATTTCAATGATTTCAAAGATGCATTGCTGTAGATTAATTTCGGTGATTTCAAAGATGCATTGCTGTAGATTAATTTCAGTGATTTCAAAGATGCATTGCTGTAGATTAATTTCGGTGATTTCAAAGATGCAATGCTGTAGATTAATTTCAATGATTTCAAAGATGCATTGCTGTAGATTAATTTCAATGATTTCAAAGATGCAATGCTGTAGATTAATTTCAATGATTTCAAAGATGCATTGCTGTAGATTAATTTCAATGATTTCAAAGATGCAATGCTGTAGATTAATTTCAATGATTTCAAAGATGCATTGCTGTAGATTAATTTCAATGATTTCAAAGATGCATTGCTGTAGATTAATTTCAATGATTTCAAAGATGTATTGCTGTAGAGTAATTTCAATGATTTCAAAGATGCATTGCTGTAGATTAATTTCAATGATTTCAAAGATGCATTGCTGTAGATTAATTTCAATGATTTCAAAGATGCAATGCTGTAGATTAATTTCAATGATTTCAAAGATGCATTGCTGTAGATTAATTTCAATGATTTCAAAGATGCAATGCTGTAGATTAATTTCAATGATTTCAAAGATGCATTGCTGTAGATTAATTTCAATGATTTCAAAGATGCATTGCTGTAGATTAATTTCAATGATTTCAAAGATGCATTGCTGTAGATTAATTTCAGTGATTTCAAAGATGCATTGCTGTAGATTAATTTCGGTGATTTCAAAGATGCAATGCTGTAGATTAATTTCGGTGATTTCAAAGATGCAATGCTGTAGATTAATTTCAGTGATTTCAAAGATGCATTGCTGTAGATTAATTTCGGTGATTTCAAAGATGCATTGCTGTAGATTAATTTCGGTGATTTCAAAGATGCAATGCTGTAGATTAATTTCAATGATTTCAAAGATGCATTGCTGTAGATTAATTTCAATGATTTCAAAGATGCAATGCTGTAGATTAATTTCAATGATTTCAAAGATGCATTGCTGTAGATTAATTTCAGTGATTTCAAAGATGCAATGCTGTAGATTAATTTCAATGATTTCAAAGATGCAATGCTGTAGATTAATTTCAATGATTTCAAAGATGCAATGCTGTAGATTAATTTCAGTGATTTCAAAGATGCATTGCTGTAGATTAATTTCGGTGATTTCAAAGATGCAATGCTGTAGATTAATTTCAATGATTTCAAAGATGCATTGCTGTAGATTAATTTCAATGATTTCAAAGATGCAATGCTGTAGATTAATTTCAGTGATTTCAAAGATGCATTGCTGTAGATTAATTTCAATGATTTCAAAGATGCATTGCTGTAGATTAATTTCGGTGATTTCAAAGATGCATTGCTGTAGATTAATTTCAGTGATTTCAAAGATGCATTGCTGTAGATTAATTTCGGTGATTTCAAAGATGCAATGCTGTAGATTAATTTCAATGATTTCAAAGATGCATTGCTGTAGATTAATTTCAATGATTTCAAAGATGCAATGCTGTAGATTAATTTCAATGATTTCAAAGATGCATTGCTGTAGATTAATTTCAATGATTTCAAAGATGCAATGCTGTAGATTAATTTCAATGATTTCAAAGATGCATTGCTGTAGATTAATTTCAATGATTTCAAAGATGCATTGCTGTAGATTAATTTCAATGATTTCAAAGATGCATTGCTGTAGATTAATTTCAATGATTTCAAAGATGCATTGCTGTAGATTAATTTCAATGATTTCAAAGATGCATTGCTGTAGATTAATTTCAATGATTTCAAAGATGCATTGCTGTAGATTCATTTCAATGATTTCAAAGATGTATTGCTGTAGATTAATTTCAATGATTTCAAAGTTGCATTGCTGTAGATTAATTTCAATGATTTCAAAGATGCATTGCTGCAGATTAATTTCACTTTCATGTTTGCAGGGTGCGGTCGTTTTATTCTGTGTCAGTGTAAAACCATGTGTAGGGGTGTGTGTGTCCCCACTGTAGGCCTATATAAGAGGAGCTACAGAGGAAGACTTCGCCCTCTCTTCTTGATCACAGACGGACTGAGCGGTAAGTTGCTGAATACTCTGAACCGTTTCTCTGTTTTAATGCTGTTTCAATATTTACCGTAAAACGTCAATTAATAGCCGAGTCCCAAACAGCCGCCGGCCTCCTTTACTGGCCTGATGTGGGGGCACATTTTGACAAATAAACGCCTGCTTCACTTAAACGCCTGGTCTGGGTTTTATAGAAGTTCTTTGTATAAAACATCTTAAACAGGGCTTAGATCCTTAATACAAATAGGCTATTAATGTTTAAAGGTATGATCAATATGTCAGTATGGACCTGCTGCACATCGTTAGACCGGTTAGATTAATTTAGTTCATTTAACGGAAACAACAAGACCTAAAGTCTAATTCGTCTAGATTTACCGGTGTAACCTGCAGGGCTACAAGAGAGGAAAGGGGTAAAAAAAAAAAAAAATGCTGACTCACATTAACTTCGAAGCGCTCGTTAAGTCCGAATGTGTCCGTTCCTTGATTATTTAATTCCTTTAGTCTGTGAGGGTCCAATCAAAAGAATCAAAACAGCTTTTCAGAAAAATTAGTCCAAGTTTTGAATCCTGTCCGGCGTCGCCAGGTCATATACAATAACAGCAACAGCAATATTTTCCATGTTAATATGCGATGATCTTCATGATGCAGCCTGTGTCGCAGGTCTTCAAAGAGCGGAGGCTACTCGCAAAAACGTTTTGCCTGAAGTTCACGTAATGTGTCACCCCCCCCCCCCCCCCCCCCCGTGCCTGCATTTAGAGAGAGAGAGAGAGAGCGCGCGCGCATTGCTCACAGGTTCATGGCTTGTCCGCGACTTCTGAATTGCAAAATTGTAATATAAATATATTAAATACATTTAAATATAAAAGTTGTCGGTCAGTGTCTAGTCAATGTATTAACACAAAGGGTTAACAGTCGGCTCACAGTAGTGAGAGAATATGTTATGTTTCATCCTCTGATGAAGAGCAGTGCGCTCGTCTCATTGAGGCTACAGTCCCAGATGGTCTCTGTGTCTGTCAGACGTCTAAGGGGGTGGACTGGAAATCTGGCACAGGCTACCGGCCGACGAACCGTTAGGGCCGGTGTTACGTAAATGATTTATTTATATAGCCTAACTGTATGTATTGTCAGTTGTAGATCTGTAGTTGATGCTCTGTTGATGCTTGTAAGTTCCTCAAATGTAAGTCGCTTTGGATAAAAGCGTCTGCCAAATGAGTAAATGTAATGTAAATGTAACTGATTAAAATGGACCATTGGCCTATACTGACATTGGGCTGGCCCAATCACATCTTTTACCCCCCTCTGCTCGAGCTGTTTCTATTGTTGTGGGCCAAAAAAAAACAAACGCCAAATGCGCGGAAATGAGCTGCAGTAGCTTCAACATGAGCTGCACAGCCTGCATAGTGCAGTAAAGGGCTGCGGTGGCCACTGCCAGGCAGAGGAGGACGCCAGAGACAGTGAAACTGAGGGACAGAGAGAGAGCAGGAGGAGAGTAGAGGTGAAGTGGAAAGCATGGAGTAGCTCAGCCTGTAGGGAGGGAGGGTCTTTACACTGGGGATGCTGGGGACATGTAGCCACTTTGTGAAAGCCTTAAAATGTTCTGAAAAATAGTTAATTAACAAATAAAAATGCTATGAGAAAGGTTTGCACAATAAGGTATGTGATGCTAAAGATGCATTAAAACTAGCTGCATTATTTCATTTCAGTTTTACAGCTATTTTAGACAGATTAAACAATATACTGTTTGATTTTGGTTGAAATCTGTTTTTTACATCCTGTCCCACATAATTGATCCTAGTGTGAGAAGAAACATCATTGGGTTGTATTTATTGTGGCTTTGACAGAATTTCAATGGTCTAAACTTTTTGTACATGCATGTCCCTATGAGTGGAAACTCATAGAATTATTTTTCATATGTTTCAGGTTTCCTGTAGGACTTTAACAACTGGCAATTTACCCTTCTTATTCCTACACCTCAAGACCATCAGCAGCTTTACCGTCCAACACGACCATCCATCCATCCATCCATCCATCCATCGTCAACCGCTTATCCTGCGTACAGGGTTGCGGGGAAAAGGCGGCGTACATCCCGTGCAGGGCCCCAACACGACCAGCTGTAAGTAAAAAAAGATTACACAATGTAAACAGAGATAAATGTTTGGAGGACTGTGTGCATATTATCCTGAATACAACCCTCCAAACTGATAATGATAATGAAGGTGAATCTAACTCACAGCACAATTTCTAGTGTTAAACAAATGGTCTTTGATTTCAGACAGATGTAGATCAAATCACTCGTCTTATTTTAGTCAATTAACTGACAATTTTGCTTCAAAACGTGACTCCATGCACTTGTTGTTAATATCTCAAGACACATCATACTTTGGACACTTCAATTACTTACCAAAAACATAACTATGTTTTTAAAGGCACTTTGATATTTTTGTATTTCAGGAGTTTTGGAGACAATGACTTCAATCCAGAGCAGCATTTTGAAATCACAACAGCTTGTGGTTTGACTTCTGCAAAGTTCAACCTTGAGCTTCATCTTGACATTTGCTGCCCATCATCATCATCTGAAACTCTCTAATAGGATGTGATATTCTCTGGGGGGAGTCAATAACAAGTTAATATAAGAATGACGGTGATTTTTCTCATTATTAGTCTCAGGACTGTCAATAGGAGAAATTAATAGTCAATAGGAGAGTTTATTATACCATTCACTGCCAGAGCAGCTGCTGTTCGATTATAGACTACAACAATAATAACTGTCACAGTAGAATTATTTTAAGTAAGTTTTTGTATATTTCAATAAATGCAGATTCAGACCCAATAGCACTTCAGTCCAACAGAAGCAGACGGAAAAAATTCTGTGACCACAAAGACTCTCAGTAGAAATATCTCTCCAGAACGCTGTCCTGGTTCCAACTAATTATTACTTTTATTTAGACATAATTTCTTCTCTTCACCACAATGCTATCTCTATTTCAGTCAGATTCAAAGTCAGTTCCACCATCACGGCTCGCTGATGCTGTCAAACAAAAAAGCACTCTGCTAAAAGCCCAGTCAGGTCCTCTGTCTGTTTATAAAATCCACCTGAAACATGAACAAATCAAGGTCTTTGGGTGCAGGAGTTTCAGTTTTGGGAAAGAGTCCGCTAAACGTAATCGCACCATCATGGTTCTGGGAGCAACTGGAGCTGGGAAGTCAACTCTCATCAATGGGATGATTAATTACATTCTAGGTGTCGAATGGGAGGATTCATATCGGTTTAAGTTAGTTGATGAGGATCAGTCCAAATCACAAGCTGAAAGCCAGACCTCTGAAGTCACTGTGTACAAAATCAACCACCATGAGGGTTTTAAAACAGAATACTCTCTGACCATTGTTGACACTCCAGGGTTTGGAGATACAAGAGGCATAGAAAGAGACAGACAGATCACAGAACAGTTGCGTAATCTCTTCTCTGCTGAGCTTGGTGTCAGTGAAATTGACGCTGTGTGTTTTGTAGCTCAGGCTTCTTTACCTCGACTCACGCCAACACAGAAATATGTGTTTGACTCCATACTCTCAATCTTTGGCAAAGATGTGGCAGAAAACATCAGGATTCTGGTGACATTCGCAGACGGCCAGCGTCCACCAGTTCTAGAGGCAATCAATGCTTCAGGTGTCCCATGTCCTAAAACAAGAGACGGGCTGCCAGTTCACTTCAAATTCAATAACTCAGCTTTGTTTGCAGACAACAAATCATCTGCAGCAGGCAGCAGGAGTGGGGATGATGAGGATGAAGATGGAGGCTTTGATCAGATGTTTTGGAACATGGGGACAAAAAGCATGAAGAGGTTCTTTGCTGCTTTGAATCTCATAGAAACCAAAAGCTTGACATTGACGAAGGAGGTCCTCAGAGAAAGACAGCAGCTCGAGAATTCAGTTGAAAACTTGCAGGAGCAGGTCAAAGTTCAGTTAGCCAAGCTGGAGGAGATAAAAGAGACAAGTGAAATACTAAAAGAGCACGAGGCAGAGATCAGCAGAAACGAGAACTTTGAGTTTGAAGTCACTGTCAAAAAGCCTTTTCAAAAAGATATTTCTGGTACTGGAAATTACATCACCAACTGTCAGCAGTGTCATGTCACCTGTCACTATCCCTGTGCATATGCAAATGATGCAGATAAAAGAGAATGTGCTGCAATGGGATCAGATGGATGCTGTACTGAGTGTCCAGGCAAATGTTTCTGGAGTGTACATTTTAATCAGAAGTACAAATGGGAGTATAAGGAAGTAAAAGAAAAACGAACAGTAAATGAGCTGAAAGAAAAGTACCTGAAAGCCTCAGAGGCTAAGAGACCTTTTGAGGCATTGATTGATAAACTGAAGGCTGAATATAATCGTGTTCAGGCTGAGGTGGTGAAACTGATAAAGAAGTCTTCTGAGTGTTTAAACAGACTTAAAGAGATAGCACTGAAGCCAAATCCTCTCTCCACTCCAGAGTACATCGACATGCTGATTGAAGGAGAGAAATCTGAGGCCAAGCAAGGCTGGAAGAAACGAGTTCTGTCCCTGATAACCATGAGAGAAAAGGCTGAGTGCATGGCTAAAATAGAAAGAGGAGAGAAACTATTCTAGAGTCCATACTGATCAGGAATATTTTTTGTCTACTTAGGAGATCCATTCTGATACTGATAATAAAGAACATAACCGGAAAGAGACTGATGCACTGAAACTGAGAGACTTGAAATAATAGGACCAAGAAAAGCTCAAGTAGAAATGTGTTCGAGATAAAGAGAAGGAGTTATCTGCAGGAGCTGTTTACCAAAAAGGAAATCACAGATTTGCCGTGTGTGCTGATAAATGTTTAAGTGTGACAACATTTTCTAACTTTCTGACACAATTTAGGTCTGCAGCTCTATTAACTTTATTAGATCTTTGTAAATAGCAATATCAGCTTCTTGCTTCATTTTAAAACAAAATCAGTCTGCTCTTCAATTTATTCTCTTTGAGATTTGATGATTTGTGATGACAATGTTAATGACTTATAATGATTATGTTGATGTGTAGTGATTTACATTTAATTGTCCTGTAGTAATTAGCCGGCTCCTACTGAATGATGGAGAAAATATGAAATAATAATAAATTTAAATAATCTGAAATATAATATGTATAAATGCTGCCTCAAGTGTTGTCTTTTGTCCTCTGATGTGTCAGTGTGCACTTTGGCCCTCTGCAGCTCACTTCTTTTCTAGGACCTTTCAGTCTTTACACAGCTGCCATCGACTTTAAATTATCCAGCATGTCTGATGATCTTCATTGTCTCATATAGTCTAACAGCTCTCTGGCTAGAGTTTTACACCAAGCAGTAAATAAATTATAACAGAGTTGACCATATGTATTTAAATAAATTCTCCAGGAAGATGGATGTTAAATTTGACTGTTAAATTTTAATCCTGAAATGATAATGGGAGTTACACAAACTGCATGTAGAGACTGTGTGTGTGCAGTGAATAAAAACATGGTTATGCAGGCTGAGCTTTCTATGTATGGTATGAAAACTTACTGTTACTGTCGGTTAACTGTCTCTATGATTTTGCATGACATGTTGAGTAGGATGTGTGGTTCCTCACTGTTAGTGAGGTAACTAAGTAGGGCTAGTTCATCAAGGTTTTCAGCCAATAAAC